TTTTCTTGTTTTAACAGGGATTTTTAAAGGGAGAACTGCTCTGAACCAATGGCAGAAACTCCTTAGGAACGGCCTCGCTGGTCCAAGGAAAGGGGTCGCGGTTCAAGTTGGAATTTTCTGCTGGAAAAGGGTATCCAGGGATGGGATTCTGTCCCTCTGTGCCCTCAGGTGATTCCCCACCTGCAGAGCTGCCCCAGACCTGGATCCAACAGCTCAGGAGGGACCTGGAGAGATCCAGAGAGATCCAGAGGAGGGCCTGGAGCTGCTCCAGCGCTGGAGCCAGGCTGGGAGAGCTGGGAATGTTCCCCTGGAGAGGAGAAGCTCCAGGGAGAGCTCAGAGCCCCTTGCAGGGCCTGAAGGGGCTCCAGGAGAGCTGGAGAGGGACTGGGGACAAGGGATGGAGGGACAGGACACAGGGAATGGCTCCAACTGGGTGGATGGGATATTGGGAATTGGGAATTCCTGGCTGGGATGGAATTCCCAGAGCAGCTGTGGCTGCCCCTGGATCCCTGGCAGTGCCCAAGGCCGGGCTGGAGCAGCCTGGGACAGTGAAGTGTCCCTGCCATGACAGGGCTGGCACTGGATGGGCTCTAAGGCCCCTTCCCAAAGCATTCCATGATTCCAGGACCTTGCAGTGGTCAAAGTGACTGTAGTTCCACACTCCCCATCCATCAGTGATGGACACGGGATGAGCAGAGGAGAGGATAAGAGGAACCTGCTCCAATCGCTCTGGCTCCGAGGAACGACTTCCTCTGAACTTCCATGGAGTGACCAGAGGCAGAAGAGCAGCTGGAAGTGGGACACGGGCAGCAGGAGCAGCTCTCCATCCAGGAATTCCACCTGACAGACTCTGATCCCAGCAGGAATGTGCTCCTCCCTGCTCAGGGCTCATTGCTGTTCCTGGGAATTCAGAGCAGGTGCCAGAGCAAATCCCATCCCAAATCCACCACGCTCCAACACCCACATTTTCCATTCTTGGTGGCACTGGGATGGGAAAACTTCCCAAGGCAATTCCTGCAACATTTCCTGGAAGAGCTGAGCAAACAAATGGGGCAGGAGGATAAAATGATGGCAAATCCCAGGATAATTTTACTGATTGGAAATTCATTGGCCAGGCCCCGGGGCTGGGGGCAGCTCTGCAGGGGCGGGGGGGGAGGGGGGTCATCTCATCCCTTTGGAAGGTACCAAAGAATTCCTAAAGAATTCCAAGAGCTGCCCATCCCCACCCCCTCAGAGGCCATTTCTGATGTCTGGACTCCCAATCCCAAATCCGAGTATCCCAGGCCGTAGGAAACATCCCACGGGATCCCTCCGCTCTCCCCGTCATTGCCCCAGGTCTCCCAGAGTTCCCAATCCCCATCCATCAACCATCCCAGAGCACCTCAGAGAGCCCTTGGAAACAGCCAAGCATTTTCCCAATGCAAACATCCCAAACACTGACGGGAAAAACTATTCCCAACAGCTCTGCTCAGACATTCCAAAGGTAAAATTCCCAGGAACCCGCTTTGGAAGCCTGTGGAGTCAGAGCAGCAGCACAGCAGACGGATTTGTTTCCAGAAGCAAAAACGATCCCAAATCCCCCCCGGAGCTGGGAGAGGTGGCACAAACCCTCGGCTTGGGCAGAGTCCGGCCGGGAACACCACAAAAGGAATTTCAGCAGCTGTCAAAAAAAACTGGGAATTCCTTTCATGTCCCCGCAGCAGATGGACACTTGAAAGCCAGACCTCGGCCGCGGCTGCGACCGCTCCAAAACCACGGCCCGGAGGGCTCGGGATGAAGCCTCCTCTCCATCATCCCAGCAGGCTGGAGAATCCCGACCTCTCCGGCATTCCGGGGGCCGCTCCTGCTTCGTGTCACGGAGCCGTCAGAGGCTCCTCCAAATTCCAGCCCACCCCGGTGCCTTTTATCCCGGCCAGGAGCATCCCAGAGCCTGGTTTTTATGGGACAGAGGGATGTCAGAACTTCCAAGGCCGGAGCATGGAGAGCACAGGAGGGAATCCAATGAAAAGAGGCGGGAGGTGGCATTTCCAAGGAGGGGAGAAAGAAACACCCTGATTTTTAAAAGGCCGGAATGTTGGCGGGGGATAATCCAGAGGGAAGGGCCAGGAGGATCCTGAGGGATGGATTTGACCCCGATGTCAGTTTGGGGCCGTGTCGATGTCATCCACATTTTCCTAATAAACAGCAGCAACGCCAGCCAGAGGAAAACAGATTTTCCTAGGGATGAAGGAATTCCTGATTTTCCATACGGGGATCCCTGTTCCTCAGCAGAACTCCAGCAGCACACCGGGATCCCTGTCCCATTCCAGGATCATTGTCCCATACCAGGACCACAGGCCCTTGCCAGGATCCCTGTCCCACTCCATGATCCCAGTCCCATATCAGGATCCCCGTTCCACACTGAAATCCCAGTCCCACTCCATGACC